AGAATATTGTCTTTTAGGGTGGTCTGACATACATTTTTATCTTCCCTGAGAGTTTGGCATTAAAACCAAACTCAGCTAGGGGAAAGACCAGCCATACTCAGGTTACTCTTCCCCTGTTCCTCTTTTTTTTGCTTCACTTTGAATTGAAGGGAAAGGCTTACTAACTAGTGGTGGCAGCAGAAGTGCAGCAAATCCTGCCTTCATGATGAATGGCTATAAGAAAGTTTCCACATGATCAAATCGCTGGTCTAGAAAGCTGTAGATCAAGGTTGGTGTTATATTCTTATAGTTTTCTTTAGGTGAGAATCTTGAATGTATACCCTTCCTTAAGGGAGACACCAGTAATAAAATTAGATATATATGTACCCCTTTATTGCCCATTCCTTAGCTTTCTTAAGGTTGGAAGACAGAGATACAATGCACACAATCATACACATTGCTAAGCTTCAACAGAGGGTCATTTACAAACTCTCAGTCTTACGGAAAAAGTCTTTCTTCAGTTAAAAAACCCCTAAATCTGGCAATCTTAATGTAAACCTGTACTTGTGTAGACATTTATGGTATTTAAAGAGAAAGACAGAAATTATCATTCGCTTGGTCAAAAACATGAGAAAAGTTACTTTTTAGTGCAATTTTCCATAAGTTTTATTTTGAACTCATGGAAAATCTGTGGGGGAAAAAAAAGAAAGTTAAAGAAAATGGTTTTGAAAGGATAATTGAGGGAGAGGTTGGGAAAAAAAAAGAAAGTTAAAGAAAATGGTTCAGTTTTGAAAGGATAATTGAGGGAGAGGTTGGGGAATAACTGCTAATAACAGGCTATCAGAAGGTCAGTGAGCTTGATGAATTGAATATTTTTGTATTGGAACACACCATAGAACTTGTTCGTAACCTGGTAGGATCCTTCCTCCATTTGTCCTTGTAAATGGGATCTGTGTCTTTGGAGTCATGCCAGGGTGGAACTGCCCATTCATTATTACCACTTAAAGCAAATGATCATAGCCCTGTGGCACATAAAATAAGGAGTGTAGCTTCCATTTCACAGATACAAGGCATATATTATGCTTCACATATGGTCAAATGTGTGCTGGCTTTTGGAAAAGGTATAAAAATTACTACAGTGAGTAAAGCTCATAAAGAAGTAATTCAGCTAATAAGAGATTTTCTATTTGGAACCATAATTAGTGACTAATGCTGAGAGATACATATGCTTAATGAAATAGGATAGGATTAAAAGACAAACCTAAGTTTACTCAGAACCTAGCATATGTAGTCACGTGAATAATTTTAGATATATTCCTAATCCTATTAGTTTCATCTTTTCACTCTGCTGAAAACTGAGTGTTTAAATAGCATCTTTCATTTGAATTAAAGGAGGCTTCCCTAACTGGGAAGAACTTCACCTCACGCTATTCCTAATACACATTATGAAAGTGTTCTGCACCAGGGGACATTGGAGGAAGCGTAAGAGAGGTGGTGCAGGGTTCTTTCTGTATCTCAGTAAGGCCTGGCAACAAATGGCATAATAAACCAGCTGTTTTAGTAAGGCAGAATGAAAAGAGGAATGCAGATAGCAGGTAAATCTTACGCCCTTTCGGTTGCCGGGAATCTCGCGTACGTGCAACAGTGGATGGACCCAGCATGGATTTTCCCCCCGTGTCTGTGGAGAGGTACTTCCTCCCTCCCATACTGTGCTGCCTTTTATCTTGTGTAAAAACAAGCCCATGTATCTCGCCCTGAGAAGCTGGAAGGTTCTCTTTGATAACACCCACCAGCACACTGCGCAGGCTGACACAGGGCCTTCCAGCACCTTCCCTTACAGCAGCCCCTCATGCTCACAGACGGGCTTCTCGAGCCTGACGAGCAAGGACCAGTAGACCAGACTTGCCTTGCCTAAGATCACTAGCTCCTGGAGTACAAGGACTTCTGTGAGGCTCCCAGTACAGAAAGTATAATATATGTGATAATATATCAAAATACTTCATTGTGGTGTAATTCACCATTCTTTTTTTATTATGCATATTTTATCATTTCATCATGCATTATGCTGAAACAATTGAAACGGCTGGCTGTAAAATTACTTTGCCATTTTCTCTTCAAGATTCTTGAAGGTCACTTCTATAATTGTCAGGGAATTGGTAATTATTTGGATTTGAATGAATACTTATGAATACTTGTAGACTGCAAAATATTCCGTACCTAGTAATTTTTGTATTAACCATTCTTCTGTGTGTTCTTTTAAGTAGCGAAACCTGTGATGCATTACATAGATTTTAGAGATATTTTTATTTTATATATTCATGTGTTTTTTTTCTGTAATATAGATAGAAATATAAATACCAGAAAGGTGTAAGTCATGCTGGAAATCCCTGGGTTCTGGTAATTGTTGATCCACAGGAGATAGCCTCATGTGATTAGAGGGGTAGCTGAATGGAAAAGGGAAACTGTGTGACAATAGCTTTCTTTTTTCATAAACAGTTTCAAGATTTAAAAAAAGTAAAGAAGTCTAGTTTTGTGTCGGGAGCAAACTAAGCTTCTTTTAGACCCTGGGTCAAGTCACAACAGGAGAGTGCTGTGGCCAGCAAGAGTTCACAGCGGAATTTGTTTAGTCTCTCCTGATGGAAAGTTGTAGAGCTTATTGTTACTGGTGGTTGGACATTGCTCTTCCATGTTGTACATAAATCAGTGCCATTATCAGCAAGCAGCAGGGTAAGTGTCTTGCCTTCTGAGAAAATTTCCTGTCTTGTCTGAGAAAAGGCTCTGAATACACGGTTACGTAAAATGTATTTTTGTGAAATAGTTGTGCAAAACTCCAGCGTATTTGTGTAAAACCCTAGCATATTCTGAATACTGCCTGTATTTAATATTCTACTTTGCCTTTGAAACAATTCAGAAAAAAAAAGATTCCTCTTACAATAATCTCTATCATTTTACTATAATTTGTTGCCTAATATACTGTCTCATTTATGTGACAGTCTTACATACAAGAAAAGAAAATTGTTTTAAACACTTCATTCAAAAATGATCCTTTTCCCTTAGCTCTTTCTTTCAAAATTGCCAACCTAAAGACACGGTGAGACATGAGTCTATTTTTACAAGCCTAATCTGTTTAAGTAGTGTGCTGCTCTTTGAAAAATTTAGGTAGTGTTTTGCTATGTTTAGAAAAAGATGTGTCAGACAGACCAATATTATTACTTGAGACTATTTTCTCCTTTCCTTTATGAGTGCATGCAAGAGAGATACTTCAGCATCAATCCCTCTTCTAATTCTGTGGAAAGGACTGTAGGGCCAGAGTGTCTGTGTGGACAAGTCCACAAATTGTGTGCTGCAGTTACAGTTGAAGCATATGGTCTTTGGGTTTCTTGGAGTTTAAGCAAAAGTTTTTCTATGTAGAATTTCTGTATAGTTGACCCTGCAAAGAGTTCTTACACTGACATGAGACCAGGAGTGGGCAGGGGCAGAGTCCAGTACATGTCTCTTTCAGCTTTTCCATTTTAGTGCTACATGTTTTCTTCATGATCTTGTAACAAAGGGTCAAGGAGATTCTTTGCCTATTTTATTATAAAAATGAGCATGTTAAGAATCACCCATTGGGAACTATTGAAGAGATCAACAGAAATAGAAATATTATTCTACAGTCTGCAACTTGTTACATGATATGATGTTCACGTTAGAAATTTTTTAATATTACTGGGAAATAACACCAAAAAATCTCTTTGCAGTTTAAGCTTAGGAAGAAAGTAATGAAAAGCTAGTCCAAACTGTTAAATGATCCAGATTTGTTCTGGGAAAATATTTATATGGAATTTAAGAGGCAGCAGTAAGCTTTCTCTTTGTCTTAGGAATCATTCTGTGTATTTAACAGAAAATTACAATCTTGCTGGAGAGGTCTGTGGAATAGCCAAGAAAAGTGAGAGCAGGATAGTAATTTTCTATTAAGGTACTTGGCATTTTTAGAGAAACGTTATATTATTCGCTTTGATAACTGTGAAACTCTGTAGGATATTTCATGACTCTGAAAATAACTATATATCTTATCAATAAGAAAGATATTTCTCCAGCTCTTATCATGTACCTGTCTTGTCAGCAGCATTGGTACACTGTATTCAGTCTAAATTTCACCTAGTGCCCTAGGTGGTCGATGAAGAGAAGCAATTGCCTCTGAAGTTCAGAGGAGCTAAGACAGCTAAGTAGCTGAGACACTGCTCTGCTTATAGTGCCACATATATGGCTACCATTTCTGGCCCCAGAGCCAGTTGCCATCGTCTGGTTGCAACTACATAGCTTAGAACTAGGCTTTCTAGAGCAGACAGCATAGCTTGTGATAACCTCTAGGTCCTCTGTAGTGCTGTGAATGTGTGATCGTTATTTTATGCTTAGGGCTATTTTGTTGGTTTTGGGTTCTGTTGTTGGGTTTTTCTTTTTTCTTTCTTTTTTTCTTCATGTAAAGAGTTGGAAATGATATGAAGGTTGCATTGAAGACCACCAGAGTGGTGTTTGTACAGTTGGAAATGGAGAGTGTGGAAGGTGTCTGAAGGTGTAAAGCCTGGTCTGACATTTAGGAACATTTTCTGCAGTGAATGATCTCCCTGATTGATACTCAGCTGTTCTTTTGGAGAGGGCCAGTGGAGGGATCAAAACGAGCCAAGGGAGTAAGCTATCACTGAAGCAGCGTGGATAATTAGAGATCCACTGCTTGGCCTCCCTGCCCAGCTCTCTTTTGTTCATTAGTGGAGACACACCACCCGTGGTAAGTCCTACAATAGGCACCGACTTTAAGCACACGACTGAAGTGCCTTATCCAAGAGCCTAGTCACTGGCTTTCTTTTATGAGAGAGAGCTGCCTCTGGAACGTAGCGCACCCTAATTAAGAAATTACTTTGTATTTTACTAGTAGTAATGAAACTCATGCTATTTGGAATAAATATTTTAGCTGGATTTTTATTAAAACTAAACTGTGTTTAATGGGGATGTTTGGTTTTGTCTTTTTTTTCCCCTTGCAGCTGTGACTCTGAAAATAGGTATCTTGGAAATCCGCTTAGGGGAACATGTTACTGTGAGTACTTGTATTTTTAATGTTCACTACTTAAATGCTATTTGCATATTATGTGATAATTTCATTTCCTTGGAAAAATGAAATATTTTTCTTAAGATTTCCTGAAGTTGGGACAAGTTGGTATTTTGGTTGAAAAATAAAATGCCTCACTGGGATTCTGTGTTTGTTCATTTGTCCGTCGGAATGCAAATTAAAGTTTACTGAAAGTTGATACCTTACGCCTCGGTTAGAAGGAATGACCAAGCCATTGGGTTATTCTCTGTATCTCAACATATGCGAAAGGAATACCTAATTGTGTCATTGTTTAAAAGATGAACTTGTGGTGGGGAAATGCAAATAGGCTAAACAGCATTATTTCCTGGGGACATTCTGAATGGTTTAGCCAGTCTGCCTCCCAGGGACATGATACACCCCTGTTCTCCAGAGTATCATAAAATGATACTGTGTGTTGTCTCCATGTTCTTATTGTTGTAGAAAAAGTGCCTCTGGCAAATTTACTTTAAAGCATTGTGTTCCTCATAGTCATAGTGAAGCACCTGAAGGGATGAGAATGCTTATTACCCATGTGCAGAAATCCCTTAGTGAGCTGTGCCAATTTTGCTGTGCTAATATCCATGTTAAATACTAATTTTAATCATCATAAAAACATATGGGATGGTAGAGAGCACTGTTTTACCTTCTGTGACTTTTGCACATATCTGCTCAATATCAGACAGTTGAATCCATTTGTCTATTATTTTCCAACATCATTCCTACCTCAAATTTTCATAAAGACTTATCTCCAAATATATTTGTAGCGTCCATTCTGATCTTTGGCCTTGTTTTTTAGCATTTCATCTTAGAATGTACACAAAAGCTTTGCTTTAGAATCTCTTTAAGGTGTCATTTACCTAATAAATTAATGTTTCTTTTCTTGACTGATGTTTCTTTTCTACATTAAATGGTTTGCATCTGCAAGGTATGTTTTACAGAACAAAATAGACAGATGCTGTGTTACAGATGCTGACATGTCCCTAGGCCTAAAACATCTATTCCTCTTCCCAGGTATTAAAGAAATTTGGTGTGAGTTGTTTTGTTTGTTGTGTTGTTTTTTTTTTCTCACAGACAAGTTGATTTGAAATGTAATACTTTCAACTGGAGGCTAATTATTAAATATTGTATTTTGAAGATACTGTTGACATTGACGGTTTACATAAAATAGACTAAGCTGAAAATACTCCTTAAACCTGTGTTCTAAAGATATCGTTAATCAAATAAATTAAATTCCATTTGTTTTTTATTGCTTAAGAAATTTTTCTTATTTCAAAACAAATTTCAATGTTTAGAATAATGAATTTTTGTATATATTAATTTTATAAATTTTGTATATTTAAAGCTAGATAATGAGTACGTGAGAAGTTCATACTACAAAGAGAGTGCTATATAGGTGATTTTGGATGTGGGCATCAACATCTGTTTTGTCCTTTAAAAATAAACATTATTAAATTTAGAGATAGAAAAGAAATGACAGTAATGATATTTGTAGACCTCAGGCACCTCTGTGAAAAAACTTATTTTTTTCCAGGTTGGGTCTATAAATCATATTGGAGAGAAATTGTACTGTATTCAAGATACCCTTTCACCTTTAACTGACTACTATTTGTCTTCTGTCAGATTTCGAAATATTTTAAAGACCTTGTTGTTCTGGAATGATAAATCTTTTTTTAATACTTTCAGTCATTTAAAATATCAGATATAAACGATTTTCAGAGTTATTTTATCTGGAGGTAATAAGGAGCCTGTGCTAATTTAAAATAATGGAATTTTGTGTTTCTTACATTTTGTGGCTGATGCATCATAATGAGAAATTATTTGTGGATAACTGGCTGACCTAAGATTTCAATGGCAATTGCTTATCAGCACTGTCCATTACCTGCTAAATCATTATTAAAATATATGTGTTGTAAAGAGATGCTCCAATTTCTTATCTGTATAAATATTTTAAAATTTGTCCTTACCATGGACTATGAATTGTAGAAGAAAATGTTTCTTTTGTACAAGGCAAACATTTGGATGGTGTTTTTCTGTGTTTATTTCACTAGTCTGTAAGAAACTTCCTCTTTAGACACTTACATTGGTGCTTTACTTCTGAAGTAAAGAATATTCTTAGTTTTTACAGCACAGGAATAGTTATTGCTCAGGAGGGATGAAAATACTGAGGAAAAATGAATTGTAAATACTTATGAGCAGCATAAGTTTATGAGAAATAAAAATTCTAGGCACATTTGTTTCTACCACGTAGGATCAAAACCCTTGATTGGTAAGAAAATAGGAATGCAACTAGTAATTTGCTGGATGGTTGAGATCTTCTTCGGGAAAGCTTTCAGTGACATGCTTGAGTTTAGCCGTCTTCCAAATGACCAGTTTTAAGTGTTCAACTTTTATCTTTTTTCACTTGTGTAAATACTGCCCTAAATTGGAATGCTTTCCTAAGCCAAAACCTTAGAATCCAATCCTGAGAGTACGGCTAACTTTCGTATGATATTGGATGACCTCAATTTCACTTTAACAGCAATATGTGGATTGAGAATGCTTGTTGCCTTAGAGGAACTTTCTGCACCTTGTGATATGTGAACACCCGAAGCCCTACAAAAGTTCAGCTGTTTCCATCTCTTGCTTCCTGCCTAGCTTACCTAATTATTGCCTAGTCCTCTCCTCTCTCTTGCATTTCATTGCCATCCTCAAGCCTAGGAAGTGGGAACAGACTGGTGGGTTGATCTAGGTACTGGTTTTAACATCAATAGGGTGTTTAAGACAGTAAGTAAACTCTAAACTTAATAGTTAACCAGTGGGACAGCACAGATCATTTTAGTACTTCCTCATTTGTTTCCATTACAAGCGATGTAGGAGCGTAAGCAGAATATTAATGCTGCACATGGAACATGTTGTGATTGGAAAAGTGATCTGAGCACAAATGAAAACACAGGAAAATTACAGATAGGTCTATCATGATCAAAAAGAATGGGGTTTATACAGGAAGTAACATGCTGAAACATTGCAGGGAATTAATCTAAATACAGGTACTATGTAAAAGGATAAACACAGCAGCAAAGCCATCAAATCCTAGAGATAACAGCAGCAGTTCATTAAACATCAGATTTCATTCTAACATGGCATTTCAAAACATGACAGCACTGGATGTGAGTAGTTTTTCTACTTTCAGTTATCAAAACTTAATAAAATAGAGTGGGAAATGCGTAATAGACAGGGCATGCAATAGTGTTATTATCCAGATTGTGTGAAAATCATTGCCCATTGCTTCTATTAAAATTATTTTCATTTCATTCTTCATGACTTCACTGTATGATTGAAAAAGCACAACAGAGAGAACAAACTTCTCTGAGAATAAGAGAACAAGAACAAGCCTCACAGATATAAAAATTAGAAAAATATTGAATGTGAAAGAATGCATGAGCAACTACATGATGATCTGTCTGTTGTCAGTAGTGGCTAAGTATGAATGCCAGGGAAGAGTATATCAGATGGACAAACATACAATGATATTTCTCTCTGTACATTCAACGGTCTGCAGCTCAGTAACTTTGTGAGAGGGTTTCTTGAGCCAGAAGTGTTTAATGTGCCATTGTTTGGGAATATCAGGGGAAACCTTATCAAAGATGTCTTATACGTAATAAAAAGAAGAATATGAATATGAAAGAAAATTTCACAAATTTAAAAGCCACAGTTTTGTTCGTCCATGTAAATATTCTTGTAGGTTGAGTACAAGTCTGCTTCTGGGCTGTGTCTGTATTTCTGGTACAGAGGTTTTGTATCCCTAGGCCATTCTGTTGGAAGGCAATCTTTCTGTGAACGATCAGAAGCTGATTCAACCCATGTAAATGAGTTCTGAGTGGAGGCCAGAGATAGTTGTGCAGCTGACTTATGCATGTGTACAAACCATAAATATAATGTTTTGTCATGATGCATTAGTATTTGTTGTTGTTATTGTTCTTTGGTATCTCAGCCAGTGTGATGTATAACAGTGACACCTAGATAGCAAAGTATGCATCCAAATTGCTGGATTAGTTCTTTGCACGTCAGCGTTAGAAATACATTGCTGTCAGAATCAGTGCTCCTGGGTGCAAAGAAACATGCAGCAAACCCAGATGGTTTTAGACTGATTGGGAGGGATCACTGGGACAAATGCCGCTTCTGTGATTCTGACCTGGGTTATACACAGACATGAAGCTTTAAATCATAAATGGACAAATAGGTGAACCAGTGTTCTAGAGAAAATGAGAGGTTAAATTTACAGTGCATGATTTGTAACTATACAGGGGGTGAATTATAGGCTTGCTAACAATCCCTTGATTTGAAAGGGTGTGATACTCTCCTTCATAAACCTCTTTTAAATATCCATATTTCTAAGGTCAAAAACATTTCCAAAATGTCTGGTTTATGTACCTTACTTTGGGTGTCACTATTCCAATGCTACGTTTCAAACAAGAAGTACAACTGAGAGATTCTAATACTACTACGAGCAGAAGCATAAGATCTTACAACAAATCAGTACTGTGAGTGTAAATCATATTGTTTGCTGGCATAGTTGTTAGAATTTCCAGATGAGTCGAACACTCAACACACTATTCCACCAAGAGGATTCCTAAGACAGGTCTAGCAGCCAGCTAAGAAAATATTGTTGAAAAAATATATGTGGATTTACATACCTTAGTTTCTTATTCCCTTTTACCCTTTAAAAGAATGTTCAGAAGCATTTTTTTATTATTTCTGGATACTACCATCAACAATGAAGATAAGAGAACGAGTAGCTTCTCCATGTGGTTCTGCAGATTGGTTGCCCTTTTAAAATAGGCAGCAGTAGTGGGTTACAGGGCAGCACACTTTTAGAGTATGAAACTTCCATACATTTGAGAAGACTTTCTCAGCAATGCACAGCAAGAATGTAGTCACAATGCAATAAAATTGCAATAAATTAATAGTTTTGATGAATCTGGTGCTTA